TGAGATGTTAAGATTTCGGATGGATATCAGTATGAATGAATTTTACAAAGATTCAAACGATTTCGGGGTACAAAATTTCTCGCAAACAACCTAGCGTAATATTTAACAGAATTTAATAGTGTAAGAAAGAAAAAGATAAAATCATTCTTGCCATTTTACTCACTGATAGTAAATCTTAAAATGTGATGGATCTTTTTTTCGGAGGTTTACAACTGTTTTATTGTTAGTGAATGGCATTTTTAGCAACCGCATTGAGAGCAAATGTTCTGTTGTATGGTATAACATTTGTATTGTGGAAATTCTTCGTAAAAATTGCAATAATTTTGAAATATGACTTTGTAATTTTGGAATTCCTTATATTTTAAAATATATTTGATAATTGTAAATGTATGAAAGAGAATTTTTTTTTTGTTTGAATGTAGATAAAAGTAAATATCCGATTGCAAACATTGATGTTCAATTCTTGAAAAGAGATTAGAAATTTTTTCTTAAAAAAATAATCCGTCAATTTGATTGCTTTAATCATCATTGCAATGTAATATTGATGATTCTAGTATCTAATAGTAGTAAAATATTAATTTTGCTACCATAATTAATTAGGATTTATTATGATCAGTTGAGTTTTTTTTTTCATTTTTAGTTAGAAAAATTTATTAAATTGTAACTTAATTAAACAATTCACGTGTAGTAAATTGTCGTATACGTTAAAGGGAAGCAAAAGCATTTGGATCAGTAAAAATATTATTTAATATTTCAGTGCAAAAGTTCAATTTTTGGCAATTTGGTGTGTAATATCGAGAAGATTTGTCGTACGTTTGTAGTAAATTGAATGTGTAAGAGGAACAAGGAGCGGTGATAAATCGCTCAGTGCAACAACAATCCTGCTACATTCAACTACATTACCGTCTTACAGCCAAGCTGGCCCTGGTAACCTCACGTTTTCCAGTGGGGTCACCAGCAGTAACAGTAGCAATAGTCGTAGCAGCTCTATTCGAAGTCCATCAACCGCTTCACAAGCAATAAATTTGGACCAAACCATATTAATTGATGGAAAACCACCAGTGATAACATTTCCGGTTGTTGATCAATCAGTTACTGTTACAGCTAATCATACTCATGAAAGCTGTGATAGTGAAAGATCAACACCTAAAGATATTAAAAGTAATATACTACAACCATCCAGTAATTCACAATCTATACTCGCTACAACTGATTCCAATATCACCTTATGGCAATTCCTTCTGGAGTTGTTACTTAAGGGTGAACATACTGATCTGATCCAATGGACAAATCAGCAAGGCGAATTTAAGGTGCCTTTAATTTGCAATCTTTTCTCATACTTAATTCAAATTATTAGAGAATGTTCGGCAATGTCAATAAAGAGATAGCTCGTGACTTCCTTTTTTTTATATTCGTGATGATGAGAGTTAAGTATTCAGCAGAAAAGATATTAGTTAGAAAATGGAATCTGTAAACCTCAAACTTACTGGTTATTCATATTAGAAAAGTTAATCATATTCATCGTTGAAATTAGATTTCAATTCCGTCTTAAATGGAGTATAGCAATCTCTTGATTTGTAACTTGCATTGTTACAAAAAATTAATTTTTCGACTTAAAAACAAGAAATTTTTGAATATATATGCTAGATTTAATTTTAGAACGTCTCAGTATTTGTCGCAAAAATGAAATTAATTAATGTGATATTGAAAAGTTTTTGAAAATTTTCTATAATTTGACTTATAGTAAATAGTAAAACCTCTTAATGAATTAATTTTGAGAAATGAAATATGATTATTGATATAAAATATATAAATCGTAAATTGGAAGAATTAAAAGGAATATATAGCCTGCATATTTAAGTAGATTACTGAATACAGTTATATCCTTATGGTAATATCTAAGTATTATTGTTATAGTGGGTAGAGTGTAATAAGCACAAGGTCATCCATTCAAGCTATAAATAGTAAATATTTCCCTTTTGATTCGGATAAGATATTTCACAAGAAAATGAGAAGAAGAAGGGAAGATATGATTGATAGGCATTGAAAAAGCTCATTTGAGACAGATGTTGCTAGTTTTTTTTTTTTTCCTTTGATATTCTGATTCTGCAGTTACTGGACGCAGAAGCGGTTGCACGATTATGGGGACAACGTAAAAGTAAACCACATATGAATTATGATAAATTATCACGTGCATTACGATATTATTATGATAAGAATATCATTAAAAAGGTGAAATTTTAATTGTTTAATTGATTGCCAAATATTTTGATCATTAAATCAGAATCATTCACTTTGTGATATTATTAGTGTTAATTCTAGAAATAGGTAAATTATATTAAGGAGTGAGAAAAAATTTTAGGTTATACGATTGACGAACTAATCTGCTTCATTCCTGTTGAAATGATTGATATTTGTCAAATATTTTTTTTTAAATCAATCTTTCAAGTATAATAAAAAAGACATGAAATAAATGAAAAGAAAAAGGAAATAGTCATTGTAATATTATTAATAATCTTTTATAGGTAATTGGACAAAAATTCGTATATCGATTTGTGACATTTCCGGAAGGATGTACACCTGATGCATTGCAATGTGCAATTGCACGAGATGTTGATGGTATTTCAGCTGATTGCACTTCTACTGGTTTGAT